GGACTCTGCTCTGCTTCCTTGGTCCATTTACTTATCCTTGTGCCAATAAAATACTGTTCTAAGGATCTCGCTTTGAATAGTTTTAACCATCGCGTTCTCCTTTCAGTGTCTTGGCTATTCTTGGCTTTTTGCATTTCCTTCAGAATTTATTTAAAATTTTTACTTTCTAAATATTTGTTGCTAGTCTGTAGAAATTCAATGCATCTGTGTATATTAACCTTGTATTCAGTAACTGGCTATACTCATTGATTCATCCTAACATTTTATGCACAGACTTCTGCATTAGCTATATAAACAGTCCTGAGTCCTCTTCCGATTACTACCCTTCCACCTCTTTTTTGGGATGTTTTCCATCAGCTCTTTCACTTTTCCAACCTAAGTGGTGAATTGTGACTAACCTTGCCTTATTAATGTCAAGAGGACAATTTTCAACATTTCTTCATCAAGTTCGGTATGTGCTGAGGGAGTTTTTGGAGATGACTCCTTATCAGAATAAGGAACTTCCCTCCTGTTCCTAATTTGCTAAGGTGTTTTAATAATATGTTGGATGCTGAATTTTATTGTGAACTTTTTTCTGCACGAATTATGATTTTGTCTTAATTTGTTAATGCAGTTTACTACTTTAAAAAAAATGTCATCCCGATCTTGCATCTCTAAAGTATAGTTTGTTAATAACGTGTTTAGGGTCTTTGGATCGATGTTCACACGTGAGATTGGCCGTTGCTTTTCTTCCCATAAACTTTTCAGATCTTGCTATCAGGATCATGCTGGCCTTAGAAAGAGTTCTGAAATGTTCTCTTTTTCTGGAAGAGTTTGTGTGTGGTTAGCAGTGTTTCTAAAATTTGGTAGAATCTGTTGCTGAAGCTGAGCCTGGAGTTTTCTCTGTGGAATTTTTAAAGATTCAGTATTTTAAATATTAGAAGGTTTTATTTCATTTTGTGTCTTTTTTTTAAGGAATTTGTCCATGTCGTCTAAAGTTCAAATTTACTAATGTAGAATATTCACAGTATTCTTTTATGGACGTCTAACGTCCACGAGATCTGTAGTGATAATGATTTTCTAGGTGCTCTTTTTTCTTTATTGGTTTTACCACAGTTTTCTCAATCTAATGTATTTTTTCAAAGAACCAATTTTGGGCTTTATCTTTTGTGTGTTTTTTTTTTTTTAATATTACTATTGTGGTTATTTCCTGTTTAATTATTTTCTGCTCTCATATTTATTCTTTTAACTGTGGTTTTAAGTTCTTTTTAAAAACCTTCAACTGTGGTTTTAAGTGCTTTTCATAACTACTGAAGATAGTGCTTAGGTTACTGTTTTTCTGTCTTCTCTTCTCACATGCATTTAAGGTAATAGATCTCCACCTAGGAAAAGCTTTAGCTGCAGCCCGCAATCTTCGACATGCAGCATTTTCATTCACATCCAGTTAAAAATATTTCTTAATTTCCATTTCTTCATCTGACCCTTAGGTATTTGAGAAATGTTATTTAATCTCTAAAATTGTGGGGATTTTCGAGTTACCTCCCTGGTATTGATATGTAGCTTAGTTGTACTGGGGTCAGAATATACCATGTGCGATTTCAGTCCTTCGAAATTTGGTGAGATTCGTCTCATGGCCCGGCAAAAGGACCGATTTTGGTAAGTGGTTCCATATATACTTTAAAAGAATGTGTATTCTGCAGTTGTTGGGTGTGTTGCTCTACATGTCTACGTGGCAACAGCACTGATCAAATGCTTACTATCCTTCCTGATTATTTTTGTCTTATTTCACCACTCACTAAGAGGACAGACCACTGCATGCTGACCTTATGATGGCTCCAACCGCTGTGCAGATCAGGGCAGGAACATCCACAGGTGGTCTCTAGACGGCTGGCTGGGAGCGAGGGACAGCGAGGCACGGAGAGGGAGGGAGGGAAACTGACAGAACAGTCCCTGGAAACACAGCCCCTCCCCTCTGTTGCTCACAATGACTACTTAGCTTACTTAAAGGAAAGAAAAGAATCATCTGTCTGAGTGAATTTTCTCTTGCTGTTGCCTTCTTGGTCACCTGAAGGTCAAAAGTAAACCTACAGCCTCACCTTACTTATTTTCTTTGTGGCATTTACTACAACATGTGACACTCTTGTTTTTACCTGTTTGCTTGTTAACTTTGTCATTTTCATCAGAAGGTAAGCTTCACAAGGGCACGGACTGTGTCTTGTTTACTGCTGTATCCCCAGGACCTGCCTGGTACATTGCTCAAGGAGGAAACTTAGGCTCAGAGTGGTTAAGCGACCTGCTCAAGGCCACGCAGCTAGCAAGAAGTGGAGGTGAGATTTGAGCTTGGATTGCTCTAACTGCAAAGCCCGTGCTCTACCCATGAAGCTCCCCTGGCCCTCCCCCGTCTACAGCCACAGTTTAGGCATTTCTGCTACATTTACTCTCTACGCTTCTGGGGAAGGAAGCCATATTTTTTCCCTCATTCATTCCCTTCTAATTAACCACAGCAATTAATCATTAAGCATTTACTGCTGTGTGACCCCGGGCATTAACCTCTGCAACTCAACTTCCTCATTCATATAATGGGATTAATACTGGAACAGACTGTATAATTACGATGAGGATGAAGTGATGAATATTTTTAAGGTGCTTAGAACGTCGTGTGGTACACAGAAAGCACCACACAGGTATCTGTTAAAGACACAAAACACACTAAGTGAGCACCTACTGTATGCCCAGCACTGTGGCGAGACGGGGAGCAAGAGACTGGGCGCGGTTCCCACGCACGTCCGTCAGCTGGGCTCACGATGAAGGTGTCAGAGGCTTAGAAGTGCGTGTCGCTGCAGCAAGAACACAGCCAGCATCAGCGAGTGTTCCCCACGAGCCAGGCACCACCCCGAGCACTCCACGCTCGTTTAGGTTCATCCTCCTACACACTCCTGGACGCTGCTGGTGTGACAAGCCCCACGTTAGTGATGACAGAATCTGCCCGCAGTTGCGCAGCCGCAGAAGGGGCCTGGGGCCCAGGCCCTCACTCAGTTTATGCTCTCAACCACCATGCTATACACAGCGGCGGTGAAAACCAGATCCAGGCTGTAAAACACGCAAGCTCTCGCCCAACTGAAGTAAAAGCAGCATAACGCAATTTCATATATAGATGAAGAAGGTACATTGTGTTGTTTAAACAAAAAGAAACGTTTAACTTAATGTTCCTAATTTAAGGCTGCAATTTAAGCAGGAATAAACAACTATCAAAACCTTCAGAAAGTCATTTCCATTGACATAATTGTCTTTGGTTGTGATGAGGAAAGTCTGACGGATGAGTTAACACTAACCACTACATTTACAGAAAAAGCTTTCCTTTAAGATTCACATACACTGTAGATGGTAAATCAAGTTTATATTGTAAAATACTATCCAGATAACATGTGACCTGAAAAATCCAAATAAATATATTAAAATGTGCAGGGAAGAAGAAAACAGATATTCTATCATATAAATACAAGGGAAAAAATCTGAACTTTAAAAAGGGTTTTTAATTGATTTTCCATATTCAGGCCCCTGGAGCTGAAATTATCAGAACCTTGGACAGCACTGAGAGGGCCTTTTTCCTCCGAAGGACTGGTTTCGTGGTGGACTTTAAATGTTAAGGTACCTCCTTCCCTTCTCTGCATTTAAAACTTCTGTCTTAAGTTTACTGCCTCTCATACAAAAATTGATTCCTTTATGTGTAGAACTTATTGATGGCGAAATATATACATATATTTGCGTCTTCCTCTTGCAAACAAAAACTGGCATTTTTGTCCCGTCACCTTTGTTTACTTATCCATCTTATCATTATTCATATAATTAAAGGACAGTGAAAAATCACTTAAGTAACATTTAAATCCCAGGTGTTGCTGTTAAAAGCAGATCAGTGCCTTCAGACGTTAACGGACACAAGATACCCGTATGTAAAATCTAAATTTTTTGATTTAAGCTTTACTAATTGGTGGCCCAAATGACCCCAATCATTCCTCTACCTCCCATTTTGCAAAATGGACATCTTTCAGCAGTTTCCAAAGCATGGTGGTTAGCTTCAGAAGTTACTGAACAAAAATGCATCTGGCATTAACTTCCAAAAAAGCCATACCCATGAGATGTATTCATATATATGGACACGTGGACAAATCCTAATGGTTTATTACTAAAACTGTGAAAATAAATATTTTTGAAATATTAACACCCACTATTAAGGTATTAAAGAAATCATTCTGCGAATACTTGAACTCGATGTCAAGCAGAAAAGCCTTTCTCTGCTACCTTTTAGAATAAAGCAGGCTAAAAAATTGAACTGCTTTGTCAGTTTGCTCTTGAAAGCAATAATACGGTCACAAAACTTGCTGTGACCATTCTGTCTCTTTACAAATTTTGTAAGGCTGGCCTGCCTTTTTTTTTCCCCTTCTAAATGACTGATTGAGGTGGTGCTTTAATCCTCTGTAGCATGTAAAACAAGGTTCTCAGAAGCTCTAAGTCCGCTGGCAGAGGACAGGGAAGCTGTTGTGCTCAGGAATTAATCTGTCCAAAGGCATCAAAAGCTGCCACAATGCAGCCATCGGCATGTTTTCACTATGCAAGCCCTACATTTCCTATTTAGAAAACACATAACCATCACCCCATTCTGTATTCTCACAGGCTCCCTTTTATTTATTTGTGTTTGTTATTATATGGCTTATACCGACATGTTTGTATGATGCCACTGGTGTGCATACATCCATTGAGAGGAAAAAAAGAAGTGTCTATTGCAAACTTGTTAAAAGGAAAAAGGGACCCCCACTGCTTTTTCCCTTTGGCCAGACTTCTATTTAGAGAATAAGGTTTTAACTCTTTGTGTCCCAGAAGAGAATGACTTCTTCGTGCAATTTGAATTTTGCAAAGGATTCTTTACTGACGGAATGTCACAAATGAGAGAAAAAAAAATGTTATTCATAGATTATCACAGTCCTAGAAGCTGGTATTTCTTCAGTTATATAGAGGGCATCAGATCACACATGGGAAACCTTTTATTTTGTTCTTAACATGCTTAAAGCTGTTTTTTACAAAGCAATTTAAGTATGGCTACAGAAACTTAGGAGCACTTTACTTTGGAACAGTTGGTATTTCTGTAGAACTTCTGGTTGGGTCTTTGTTGTTTTCATTTTGGAAGGTTCAACAGAAATTGTGCAAAACCTCACAAGATATTTTAGTTTAGTAACATGGCTGCTCAAGAAGATAACATGTTTTAAGCGTCTGCAACAGGACCTCCCATGAGAGTTTTTGTGGATTATATTAATGATCTGGGTGGTTACAAAGATTTTAGTGCTCACTTAATCCAGTTCTACCTCTGAGTGTGTGTCTATACAGAGAGAGGTACAGACAGACAGACAGACACAGGTCAATTAACCTCCCACCTCTTCAAAGCTACTCTCGCAATTCCAGTGAAGCCCTGGCCCAAACCGAGTGGTGCGCCTTTCCAAGACTGGGGCTTTTTAAACTGAGGAAGCCACGGACGAGCGTTTAACACTGTGGCCCGGCACACAGAGACGACCATGAACTATGCCTTCCCACTTACAGCCTTAACAGTGGGTAAGATGCAGGCATGGCTGGTAAACGTCACGGGTCTGGAGAAGCCCAAGTCTAGGGTGATCTGGGAAGGGAAGAGTTAACGGCCCCCACATTCCCTCACCCGCTCACTGCCGCCACATTCCAAAGGGACAGGGCTCGGTGACAACACAGCCCAGGACCTGAAGTGAAGAGGGACAGCCCTCTATTCTTCAGCATCTCTCGAATTAATTAACTGGAAATGAGTCTTGTCAATGTTTTGGAAAGGCAGAAGGGGTGAAAAGAGATTGCTAGAATTAATCACAGTGAGAAACTACTTCAGCTGCCTGCCACAGCCCAGAAAACCCCACGGGAAGAGACAATGAAGGGAAGGAGGCCGACCTGCCGAGGAGCAAGCGGACCCGAGCAAACTTCCAAGCCTTTGCCAAGGAAGGGACATGCGCTCAACAAGAGGAATTTATTATCTGCGGCCACAGTAAGTACAATATATCACTTAAACGCACATTGTATCCACAGGGACAAAAGCAAACCAGACAATTACATTTTTAAAGCAAAGAAACCACAGAATACTCATGTACTTTCACTTTTAAGCTTATACGCATTTAACTCTATTGTCTAAAAGATTCACGGGTTCTTGAATTTGTACTTAATAAATCTTCAAACACTCGCAAATTCACATACTGCGGAAGATGAAAAATCCATGAAACAGATTCCAAAAATTCAGAGTTTTGGATGGAGAGTTCATTCACTAAGAAGAAAAAAGAAACAAAACTGCAGATGTAACAGAGCTATTTACAAGAACAAATGAAAAAACATACAGAGAATTTTGGTCAACGATAGAAGTAATGGAAAGAAACCTGAAACAACTCATTCAATATCATACAAGGAGTTTTGTGTTCTTTTCATTGCTGAACATTAGCTATCTTTTAAAGAAAGTCTAATTACTGCCAAAAACTTTTAGACCACGTGAAAATTTCGATACCATTTTCTATTTTTCCCCTAGAACGAGTTTGAAATTTCAACTCTCTTAAGAAAATGGCAGCATAAAGCCTGAATGAAAAATTACTTGCAATTAAACTTAGGGCTTTCTTTGCCATCTTAGAAGGCAAAATTACTCCCATCCATGTTCTTATGAAGGAACTGTGTCACACCCAAGGTGACGGGGAAGCAGGGACCACTTTCTACAAACTGAAAGGGCATTACCGCTCCTTCTGGCATACTTACCAGCTGAGGTGTGTCACTAGTGGACTTCAGAATCAGCTTGTCGCCCCTCTTCTCAACTTCGAAGCCCACTTTTTTAAGCAGGGACGCGTCTGCCAGGCCCTGCTCCTCCATCTTGGCAATCAAGTCTTGGTTTTGGCTATTGTCCTCCGTGAGGTTTCGGATGGCGAGCACCACCCACTGGGTTAGAACTGGAACCAGAGTGAAGGAATCTGCCAATGTGCTTTCCTGTTTTAGAACTTCCCACGAGCATTACTGGAAAAGGAGGAGAGGAGCAAGCAACCCTAAAGGCCCAGAATCAACACATTTTTCTTGAGGATGTGCTATGAATACGCATGCAAAGCGAGAAATAATTACAAAGCTACGACACGCACATACAAATGTATGTCCAGTGTGTGTGTGTGTGTGTGTGTGTGAGGTGTCCAGCAACCGGCCCACAGACACTGAACTGAATGAATGAACGAGGAAGCAAAGGCTTAGAGCAGTCACACCTGAGGTATGTGAACACAAGCCTGTGTGTAGGACTGCACATGCGCGCGCGCACACACGTACGTTGGATGATTATGTTACTGAGTCAGCAGGCCAGGAATAAGAGCGCTACAGGATGAGGCATGAAGATGCCAGGCTGGAATCAGACAAGACAACCGTCTTGTTTAAAGTAAGCCCAGTTACAGATAAGAATTGTTTGCTGGGAGTCACCATGGAATTTCCCTCATTCCATATTTTAAAGATGAAGGAAGACTTTGAAGGATTTACTGCTCAGTCTGAATCCTTGTGCCCTTGAGAAAGCATCTCATCCTTGTGCCTTACTGTGCCCTGGCCCTAATTTTAAATGTTGTGCGCAGCGTCTTTCACAGCAGACAGAAGACACCTTACGAAGATACAGAATCCCTGCACTGTTTTCTGAAGTCTTTGACTTAGTTACCAAGAGCTGCGTGAACCTCACAAAGGCATTAAGTTGCGGCTAGATGTCCTTCTCTAAAGGCTGTATAAAAACTGCTGTAGTCTTGGATCCAGGGACACAGAGAGATACCAAGAACAGTGGGCCTGGCACCCTCTGTTGGCTCGGAAGAAACAAAGTGCCAAGCGTGGAACAGACACTTTTTCCAATGAAAAGAGGCCCCCCTGCCCAAGATCAGATGGAAGGTAGCAGGAAAAAAGCCCTTTCTCCTTATTACCAGACGTTTCCCATGCAGGCATTTCTGATGCCGGAACTGGGGCTCTGTGCCCCCAAAAGGTATGAGAGGCGGGTCCTTCAGCTGTTGAGTCGGCACTCCTGATCCGGTCGCGCGTCCCAGCACGGCGGTGAGGCTGGGGCAGAGACGCTTCTGGCTCCTCGTCTGGACACAGGAAGCCACAGAGAAAGGCCGCCATATGCACAAAGAAAGTGTATCAAACTGTTTCCCTAGTGCAATAACCTCAGAGGAAACTAAAAAGTGAGCCTGAGACTAAAGTTAGGCAAATGAAACACAGGAAATGCACCAGCTTCGCGTTCAGGAAGCATTTTGTGGTTGCTCCCTGTCAGTCCCTCCAACACAGCCCACACTGGCCCGCAGTCCGATCACACTGGGGCCTCACATAGGAACCAGCTGCCGGCCGGCCCGCCTCCCCAGCTCCTCCAGGACGGGCCACGGGGCTGCATGAGGAAGAGGACCAGCAAACGCTGTGGAGGAAATGACCCACTGGTCTTAAGAGGCTTATCATCAAAACCACTCGGGGGTATGAATGGCTAACGTGTTCCAAAGGGCAAAGAATGGGAATTGCCGGCGCCCAGCTGATGTGATTCTATAGTCAGCCGCCCCCTTTGGTGGGGAAAGTGTTCTCATCTCGCCATTGCCTGTCATCCTCTCATGATAAAGCCCAAGTCCTTTAGAAGACGGTACTCCTTTCCTGGAGATGAATCCACACAAGTACTCACAACACGTAAAACCTAAATCAGGGCTTCCCTGGTGGCGCAGTGGTTGAGAGTCCGCCTGCCGATGCAGGGAACACGGGTTCATGCCCCGGTCCGGGAAGATCCCACGTGCCGCGGAGCGGCTAGGCCTGTGAGCCATGGCCGCTGAGCCTGCACGTCCGGAGCCTGTGCTCCGCAACGGGAGAGGCCACGGCAGTGAGAGGCCGGCGTACCGCAAAAAAAAAAAAAAAAACAAACACCTAAATCTGCGTTTCTCCTCCTTTGCCACATCACCAAACCCCCACTTTGTGACAGGATAGAGAATAAAAATAATGATCCCGGGCGACAGAAACTTCCAACACATCAGTAAATTTCTCAACAATGAATCATTTGCTACAACTGATTTCTCATGCAGGACATCATCATTACTCAAATCCATTTCCTCACTTGTTGTAGGAAAAGGGGGGGGGGCAGTGATCATGAGAACCGACTGGCGAAGCGAACATCTGAGGGTAAATTTAGGCAAGCCTAGAGAATTCTAGTTCATAGGTATAACTCTCTAACGCTAAATGACAGATGCAAAAAGCTGCTTCCTGAAGCTTCCTAACCAGGAAGCTTAAATATAATTGAAAGAAAAGGGAAATTCCCTGAAATGCATCGCAAGCACCTCAAAACTGGAGGGTTGATTGGCTCTGTAATCGAGGAATGTGATGCCAGCCTTGTCACTGCCAGTTGCCAATGCCGAGTGTCTCTGGGGGAAGGAACCACCATGCAGAGCTCGAACTGTCAAATGGTTTCAGTTACAGGGCAAATAAGACCCCTGCAGAGGGTCCCCGCATCTCTCTGTGCCAGGTGCCCTTCACACCCCAGGCTCTGTCAACATCACCTCGCCAGGCCCCACCTGTCTGTCCACACATGAGGCCCTGCCCCGGGACACGCCTCCCCTCACCTGCCCCTTCCCCACAGGGCGCACAGCCGAGCTCACGCTCCTGGAAGCCCACCCTCTCTGTCCCAGCCCCCCCTCGTCACCAGCATAAGCTAGGCGCGCCTGCTCTGTATTTCCAAAACACCTCCCCCCACCCCCCGCCCTTTTTTTTTTTAACTAGTTCTCATCCCATTGCACTTACTTATCTGCTTAGGTGTCTATGAGCTTCTCAAGGCCAGGAGCCACACAGAATCCATCTCTAGATCCCCAGCACACAGCTCGGTGCTGACACAGAGTGGATTCTCAATGTGTTTGTTGACGTCATGTGAGCTATGATTATCTGTTTATATCTGTCCGCCTGAACACCCTGTGAACTCCTCATAAGCAAGTCTGATGTCTTATTTACCCTTCTGTCCTCTGTTCCAAGAACGGTGCTGGGAAATGTTTGCCTGATGTCCAAGTGAGCAAACGCTATCTCCCACTCACCGTGTGCGTGTGTGTGTGCGCGTTTGTGTACGCGCGCAGGAAGGCATCGAGGCACTGTAGTGACCCACACAGGCTGTGCTTTTCCTTCTGCAGCAGTCCTTGGCGTGGTTTCCTGACTCAGGGCTTTGCAGGGTTGAGACTAGATGAAAGTAAATGCAACCTGGGCAAGGAAGCTGGACCGTGTAAATAAGAGGTCCATGACAACAAAACATGGGAGAATTCCCATGTGGACAGATGCAAGGGTGGATTTCAATCATGTTCATCTGCGGGGGTAACTAGCACATTTTGTGGAAGTCCCATAACGGTGTTCTAAGAAGTGTTTAGTATCTCATTTCTGTAGAAAAACTTACATGATCCCCGTTTTATATGCAGGAAAAAGGAGCACGGAAGAGGATGAGATTGATGACGATTTTCCTGATGGACAGACCCGCTGGGCTGCACGGCTTCAGGAACGGACGTGACCGTCACGTCTCCCACGGATCGGGCTCCTGGTACAGCCACCATATCAACAACCCAGCGGAAGTAGCACTGGAGTCCAAGGCAGCAAAGGCAATCTAGTCTTCTTCCGAAACCGGTATTCAAAGGGCAAAAGACGTTAAGTGGAGGGCATGGGAGGGGTGGGGGGGAGGAAGGCCACACAGCCACAGTGGGGTCAATGCCCTTCCAGAACCTTGAATATCAGAGATAACACACGAACAACAGTGCAACCCCCAACACTTTCACTTAAATGTATACAGTTCATATTCTTTGTAAGTGAAACTGATCTTATTTCCTCTTTAAGGAGGATTTCACGACGTGCCGCTTCACGCTCTTCTTGGGCAGATACTAAAGGTGTGCGCTACATCTCTACCCTAAACAAGCACAGCATTTTGGGGTTTGTACTGTCCGCCTATAAATTAAATACCACACAAAGGTCCTCTAATCTGTCCCTATTTCCAGTGGGAACATTTTGGCACTAATGTCTAGGGTCTCCGACTTAATAATAATTAAAAAACCAAATTTTAATAGTCGTTGCTTTCATAACATTTGCGTCGAAAAGAGAAGCACGGAAAGCCGCACCCCCCGTCCCCGCCGTGAGCAGTGTCTGATGCCCAAGCCCGGCTTATGAATATGCACGCACGACTCCCCTCGTTAGCGCAGGAAAGGCCGAGCCTCCAGGGTCACAGGGAGATGAAAGCGTGCCCCGGTTAATATTCACATCACCCTCTTGTTCCCTCTCTACGGAGACAGAAAGCAAGCAAGAGTGGGGGAGAAAATTAAACATCTTCTAGAGCCTCTAATCCTTAACACTCGAAGTGCTTTATTGTCTGCTTGGCTTTAGAAAGACAGCTTCTAACGTTGCCATGGCGACTCCAAACAGAAGGCGTGAGCCTGTTTGTTACAAAACTGCCTTCAAAGAACCCTGCGATCAGCACTAGGGTGAGGACTCGACAGTCCAGCCAGCTCTTCATCAGAACACGTGGTGTCTGAAGGAGCCACAGAGACGAGCGTGGGACTGAGCACCTGGAAACCACAGGGCCTGGTGAGTCCAAGCGACAAGTGGTCCCTGCCCCACCCCCCGCCGAGCACTCGTGTGGCGGCAGTGGTGCATCGGGATTCGGGAGGACGCGGGCTCCACGCTGAGCCCTGCAGCCTTGCACCAGGTAGGTGAGGAGACAGGACAGGGCAGAAGGATGTAGGCTGGGGGACTAACCGAGACAGAAAAAGAGTCCACAACCAGCAGATGTATGTGCCCAATTCACTTTTAAAGTCAAGTTAGGTGAGTTAAAACATTAAACCTGGAACTGTCTGATGAGAAAGACGCCACCTAACTTACAGTTATTGAAATCAGTGCTGCCTGAAGTCCTGCAGGTGCCCGGGACGCAGGCCCGGCTATGACAGGGACT